GCACAGTTCTTGCTTGAAAGCATCCCAAAGCAGCCTAGGGCAACAACACATGAGATACGTGAAGTTTTTCACACATGGCTGCCCACAGAGCTGCTTTAAGCAGAGATCACACCAAAATTGCACTAAGCAAGTTTCGGAGCACAAGTGATGGCCTAGTGTAGGGTCTCAACTATCAAGCAGCATTGACATCTATCTCCTTGCTGAAGAGTACCCTGCCTCCAATAACTAACGCCTCGGGACTGAAGAAAGCAGTCAGGTCCTCTCCACGCCGCATTGCCAACATTGCATGATATTGGTGTCTCCCAAAAGCTTGGCAGGCATGCTCAGGCTGGCCAGAAGGCTGGCCAGGCGGATTTGCAATTCCTACCCATTCTTCTGTCACAGTTGCAGCGCGTCCTTTCTCGCTGAGATAAGCTTGCACAGGTCCTGCACGGCCGGAGAGATGGTTAGCTACTCGAACAGCCAGCACACGGTTCTCCAAAAACTGCAACTAACCATCAGAATATTTTTTCTACAGAAGCATTAGCGCAAATTCGTTTTTTTGCATACCTTTGTCACCGACTAGGCTAGGTATGGTAGTAACTTGAAGGTGGGCTGCCAACGTCTACTCAAAATGCACAACTTCTTTCACAGATCTTGAAGCCACAGTATGCAAGATGGGGCATGTTCACCTGTTGTTTGGAGCCACGGCTATCCTGCCCGGTCATCACGTCCCAAACGCCATCACACATTAACATCCCACGCCGGCCGCCGAAAGTGGAACCTCGTGAATGGAAACGAACAAGGCCAACCTTACGCCTTGTGCAGCGAGAAATCATGACCCCTGCTTCCAGAGTTGTTGGGTTCCGACACGCTTGAACTGTAGTCTAAACTCCCAGCATCCCACTCAAAAATCCCCATAATACCCCCCAATACAAGGAGCCCATGGCCCCAATGCAAAGTGGAGGTACTAGCGCCTGCTCCCCCAGGAGACGCTTGCTCATATCAATCAATACCTTTTGCATGTTCGGAGCAGCGCATTCTTGCAGCTGTCCTGCTTTATCCTGCTGTACTACCCCCCTCCCTCTACACACCTTACTCAAAACGAGAAACAAGAACCGTCTGGCCTGAGAAACGTGGTCTGGAAGTAGCTCGGCAGTGCTCCCTCTGAAGCCTCGAATGAGCTTAGCCGTGCCCAGAAATGCATATGGAGAGCGTTCGGTTAGATGGAAATGGAAAGCGTTCTGGCATTCTGTAGCTTCGCAGATGTCTGTATGCGCAGAGCCGTTTGGGAACGAATAAGTCTCCACACGCGTGTCTGTATGTAGCTTGCCTGGTTCAAGAGAGTATTCGGCTTCAACTGCTACAGTTGGCCGGTGTTTCTTTCCACCCGAAAACTTACTGCAAATGATGTATGCTCAGTTTGTTGATCGGGCGGTCTCAACCAGAGCTTCTTCTCACTGAACGCGCTTATTCTGCGCAGGTGAAGAAGCCATTAAGGCAATCAGGTCAGGGAACTCAAGACTGTCAGGGAACAGCGAACGCGAGTGTCTTCTTCCGCAGCCTGCAATTCATCATAAGTCTTGTGTCGTATTTACTTAAGCCCAGATATTGCACATCGTCTCGGAACCGGATCTAGAATCTAGAAGGCGCCTCTTGACCCCTGAAACCTGGTGCTTGCTTTGGGGATTTTCGACTGCCAAACTGAAATTACAGCAGCTGATGAGCTGGTGACGGTTGGGGTGCTATGACTTGTTCAGCGCAGATTCTCAGATCCGGACTTTGTCTTGGCAAGAAGGTCGGGCAAGCTGAGGCTGTCGATGCTGCTCACCTGGCATTGTTGCCCGCGCTGTGTACGTTGCGCTCGACGGGAAAGGTGTTTGCATCACAAAGGCCGACCTACGCAGCGTTCTCAGGATCTGTGGTAGCGACATGCTGGCAGTTGCTTCGCCCTGCATCTCCAAGCGCCGCATCCCGCGAGCCTGACATGAGGGCAAAACGCTGTCTTTCAGGCTGGATTCAGTCCTTGCGCCCCATCCCATTTCTTTTCTCTAGAAGGGTAACGGAAGGATTGAAGTGCTCAGTTACCCGGACAAAGTCAGCAGCATTCTCCACTACGCCAAAAAAAAAATAGAGCAACAAAAACCCGAAATTTTGAGGATGTCTCGCAAGGGAGCGCAATGTTGCCTCAAACAGGGGCGCGACCAGTTCGGTTACGACCCCCTCTAGCAAGAGTACTTAAAAGGCAAAGTCTCATTTTTTTGATTGAAAAATTCGAAAGTCAATATAGAACGCCGATTTTTTGAGGATGTCTCGAGCGAGAGTGCGATTTTGAAGCGAACAAGGGCGCATCCCAAATGTTTGCGCGACGGAAGAGTATCCACGACATGGCGGGCGACAGTGCATCTAAACAACTAGAACCCCACAGGAATGTGGGGACTTAGAATTTATCAAAATCTATGTTTTTGAATTATTTGCCCTGTTATCTAGTCGTTCGTGGGTATGCCTGCAGCCGCCTTCTGTCTTAAAGCTGAACACTGGGCCGCGCATGTGTAGCTTGCTGTAGGCAGGTGACAAACGAGAAAAGAGGAAAGTATGGTCCGTAATACGACAGGGTACCGGCTCGAAAGCTGCGAAAGCATTGGAGTCCTATTTTGGTAAAAATGTGGCAGATTTGCATCGCAGATTTGTTCGTCTGGTGTTGCCGATGCGCAACGGCAATGATGGAATCCAGATGTGTATGTGTGTGGGCAACCTGTTGTACATGCAGGAATGGGGTCACTCCCGACGCGCTTGTTATTGCTATTTGCTCGCATGTGCGCTTGGTTCATTCTGTGGGGAGACAGGGGGGGTTGGGGAGCCCTCTCCAACGAAGCTCCCCCACCCCATCCTAGGAAACGTTCCCACTTTTGCCTGCTCATGGATTCATGCGGGAATAGCTTGGGGGGGCATCAGTTCGTTCACCTTCATCTCATTTCATGCTGCGCCACTCTCTTAGCGTCTGGCTCAGCGGGGCAGGGACTCATCTAACTTTGTTTTGCAGGTATGCCATTCCTCGTGTCTGGCGTACCTTTGGAATCAAAAGGCTGTCTCATTTTTCATGCATGTTTGATTGTGTTATTCGGTCCTGTCTAGAGTCCATAGCATCTGCACCTGCTCTGTCAGACGGTGTGAAATTCTGTCTCCAAGAGCCTGTAGCATTACTACGGTGACTACTATTACTCAAGTTTGCAGCAGGTGGCCCAAGAGCCATTAGATGGCTTGGGCCAACGAAGACCCCTCCAATGAGCTGTGAAAACATTCCTCTGGGATGTAAGGATACTCTAACAGTGTCTGTCAATGTTTAGGTTGAGGGTGAGGATGCGAGAATTTCCCACCTAGCTAGAGGCATCTCAAGTCCTGCAGTATGGCGCGGAAGAAGCATTTCAGCCTCCCAAACAAACAAAGTCGTCCTATTTGAGACTCTTGAACTAAGTACGGCCACTGGATGGCCGTTATCCACATATAGGAACATGTGCATATAGGCACGTATAGTGATGCACTTCTTCATACGGGGTACCCTTGCGTTCAAGATATGTGCTGTAACCTCCAAGGACGAGCAAGTCACCCACGCAAGCCCTCCTGAAAAAAAACACCACCTCTTCATCAACCTCAAGACCTGAAACCTAAACCTGAAAGAGCCAAGCTTCCAAATGGCGATTGGCGACTGAAGGTTCAAGGGACTAAGTTACATACATGATACATGTGGATTCCAAGCTACAATGCCTGGAAGCACAAGATCGCTGCAGATATCTTCATTTAAAAACATGCTGTTAACTAGACGCATTTCCCTCCTGTGTCCACTCCCGCTTGGGGCTGGCCATAAGCCCTACAAGCGCGACACCCTACAGAACTGTACAGCTGTAAATTTGAAGCCCTAAACGCTAAACCTCAAAGCCTAAAAAGCCCTAGACTCTAGACACCCACGCCTGCAACGCTGACACCACGACAGGCCAGGCTTCAGGCAACTGAAGCGGTAGAAAAAATCCCGCGTCAGGTTGTAGCCGTATTTTTGAGAGTTGCTTATACCCGCCTACGAGTCTGTATGCGACTGCCTGTATTGACGCATGCCAGGGCTTGATAGTGCTTGCAGCTGTTGCTGCTTTCGCTGTTGCATTCAGTGTGGGCCGTGGTGCGGCGGTGCAGCGGCATCGTGTCAGGTGGAGAGGAGTTGCCTCATGCTTCTGGCTTCAGGGCCCATGCTGCTGGGCTAGTCCGACTGTTTGGGGCCTGCAAGCTCAACGGCTCTACAGCACATGATCGTGCTCACCAGACCATACGACCTTTAAACTAAAACCTGCTCTTTCCTGAACTTTTGCGAAGGACAGCATTTCTTGCTTGGATGGCCGCAACGTCTCATCTGGCAATAGCGAAACCGCACGCTGTGTTAGCATGCTGGAGGACTNNCTGCGCTTTGTTCATCAGCTCATGCAAGCGTATCTGTACACTCTTGGGAGCTGCATTGGCGTCCCAAGTGAAATCTGGCTCAAAGTGCATTGCAGTGTTGTCCCATTGCCAAACTTTGCCCACATGAGCCGGATCTCTCAAAC